ATCTGATATATTAAATCGATATATTCCATCTCCATCTAATAAAGCAAAATAAATATTTCCATGACAGTCTAGCGTTATACTTTCAGATGATATATTCGAAACAATTGTCAGACCAGTTGCTGCTTGGAATAACCATTTCACTATACGATCATTGAGAATATCAATTATATATAGATTATAATTCTGATCTACAACAATTCCTGATGGATTCATAGAGTCTTCATCCGTTGCTGCTGCAACCGTTATAGTATATGTGTAATTCGGTGCGAACCATTTTTTAACTTTAGAACTTTCATAGTTCGATATGTAGATATTTAAATCTTTATCTAAATACATAGCCAATGTAGGACTGAAAACCTTATCTGTTCCCTTAATAATTACTGTCACGATCGATGAGTTTCGTGGCAAGTATTTCACGCGATATTTGTATCGTACATATTCTGTTCTTCCAGGAGGACACACGTAACATTGTTCGGCTACATCGACATAGTCAAGTATATACATATCATCCAACTTATTATCAATAAATAAACTTGATGGCTTATTTAATCCTTGACTACCGTCAACAATAGTTTCGGTTGTTTTATTTGCAATAATTAATTTTTCAATTGTATCATGTCCCGTATTTACAATGTACACATCATTATTTTTATCCAAAAATAAATCTGATGGTTGACATAGTTCACTTAAAATTCCATTACCTACACAGGGCAACATCGGATAATTAAATGTGAATATCGATGTCGTGCTTTCAATAAGAAGTTCACCCGTTTGATTCCAATTAGCATTTAGATGAATTTGACAAACGGATGATGTTGACGATTGTCTTTTGGTTTTTCTCCTAGCTAGAAAAGAAATGTACGGAATCATATATACTTATGGTATAGATCTGCACATGTGCACAGTCGTAAAGTACCAAGACGACGTGAATTTAGCCACATTTTTAGTTTTTGATCATTTAAAGGGCTATTTTTTGTGCACTAATGGAAATCTTAGTTATATCTGTCAAAGCTTTCTCAAAATGGGTTTTTTCCTGAAAACAAAAACGTTTTGGGTTTTTGCGACCTTCTCCATAATCGGAGTTTTTCTGCATGAAGATGCGGTTCAAAAGAAGTCAAAAGGTGATATTCGTGATCAGCTCGACAAGACGAATCAGAATATGTATGATTAAGTCAAAAATAAATTTTGCTCGAAGTTTTAATTACGAGCACCTTATATACGAAGATCACATATTTTTGCACGTACAGATGTTTCCTGCAGCTTACGCGTAAAACTTTGTAAAAATTACTGTAATTACGTGTGGATCTATTTTATGGCAGTTTACACGTGCCACGATTGCTTTCAGAGATGGGAGAAGGTACAAAGTTTGTCCCGAGATCTTTTTAGCTATGAAGAAGTTATATTGATCGATGGCTATGTCTTTTAGTTTATTATTCAGTTTAGTGCTTTTGGCGTTTTACCACTGTTAATCGTTTTGCTTTTTTAGTAATTTTAGTCGGGTCACTACTTTTGATCCTTTTCTCCTTTTACTACTTTTACTCCTTTTACTACTTTTAGTCAGTACTGTTACTCTTTTTAGTCCTTTTACGACGTTTAGTTATAAAGTATACAAAGTTATACCTAGATATTATAAAGGCGTATAGAAGTAGAACGAGTTAGTTTTTTTGTTTCATCAGCGCCTAAATATATGATATTTTCCTCGACGAGAAAAAAAAGATAGTGTAGTTATTTTTAGGCGGCAAGAACTTCAACTTTTATTTCTTGACTATCATTTGTTTTAATTTCTATTTTACGACTGCACTATTCTAACGAAATGCTGCCTTGAATGCTTCTTGCCTAAAATGCATGAAACGTTCAGGGTAAACGTAGTTTTGACTAACACATCGGCATCTTTGGTTCAGAATGCACTATCTGGGCCATCGAGTTTTTGAAAGCCATCGAGCCTGAAAGCCATCGAGTTTTTGAAAGCCATCGAGCCTGAAAGCCATCGAGTTTTTTGATTTTTATTCTTGTCTACCCATGGGCCAAAAAAGTTGAAAATTACGAAAATCTTACATGTGTCCACATGTAAAAGTTTTGTTTACGAATTGTTCCACGTAAACTATGGCTTTTTTACGAAACTTACGGAGACTTACGTGTAAACTCCGTTAAAACAATACGTATGTTTAGACGTAGATTTTTTTAACTAAGTTTCACACGTAAACAATCGTGAGAAAAGTTTACGTGTAATCACGTGTAATGTTTTAACAGAGTCACGTAAAGCAATGAGGGCTGGGAGATGGTACAAAGTTTGTCCCGAGATATTGTTAGCCTACATCCGAGCCTACAGATCTTATTTTAATTTACTAGTCTTATCATACCATCGTACTTTTATATCTGTCACACTTATGCTCCGTTAACTGTTTTACTGCCTTTAGTCGCTTACTTAGTGTAGTCTTTCAGTCTCTTAGTCCTTTTAGTCTGCTATTCCCCTTACTTCCTTTACTCCTTTTACTTTTTCACTCCCTTCACTCCTTTTACTCCCTTTACTTCTCTTACTTTCTTATTCCCTTTTATTCCCTTTACTCCTTTTACTTAAAAATCTACAGAAAACACTCCGGTTTTTGAGAGGATTGTCTAGAAATTTTCCGACGTACAAGAATGCTTTTTACTATTCTTAAGTAAAACATCATTTGGAGCAGGTAAAATAGAGTACATCTTGATATTCTCGCATAACTTGGATTAATCTTGAGTGAGTTATGAATTTTTCAATTTTACTCAAAAATAAGCAAAAATCGGATACACCTAATGTACGGTTTTACTAGGCTTTTGAAACTGTTTTGAAAAATAAACGTTGCCACGAGATTCAACATAGTCCATAACCCATGTTTCCATTTATTTCTGACATTCCCAAAGTAACAGCAGAGGAGTCCTAAGGCTATAAGAAAACCTCCCATAGCTCCCGAACCATCGATTTTCGAGATGCCGCGATTCTGATGCACTATAGGAAAACTTTTAGGGATCAATAGAAAAACTGTAAAAGTTTTCAAATGCAAGATGGTCATTTTTTATATGTTCATATAGATAATTTTTTCCTGTCTTGAATATATTGTGCAAAATAAAAGTATGTCTATAGATTCTCTCAAATAGAAATTAAAACAAATGATAGTCAAGAAATAAAACTTGAAGTTCTTGCCGCCT